TTTCAGAAAGGCGGGGCATAGAGGAGAAACAATAATGTACAGTATGTGGAAAATAATGTGTTTTTTTAACTTTAAACCACATAAACACATTGCATTACACCAAATACACAAAACAATGTTCTTTTTAGCAACGTCATATGACCCCTTTAAATAATGTAATGTAAAACATGAAATACCTTTTGATTTGCGATGATGTTTCCTCATTGAAGGATACACTAACAACACAAAGGAGATCACTCAGTCTCATTTGAAGAAGTTTAATCCAGTTAGTAATTAAATACAATTTAACAAACTATAACTTATTTGTCACCAACAGAAGGTGAAATTAGCTACCACAATACTATAATCCAACTATTTGAAAAACAAAACTCTAAAATGTAATGACAAATTGAAATACTTTCTAATGCAGTCTGTGTGTTGGACAATAAGAAACACGTGAAATACCTTTTGGTAGGTGTGTCCTTTTTGATAAGTAGTACATCATCTTTCAAATGATCACTCTTTACAGACTCACATCTGGAAACCTTTAAACCGGATTTTTCACTAATGACACAAAGAGGAGGTAGGCCTACTTCAGTCTGAATAGATTTAATGTTGCAAGTGAGGTTTAAAAGGTTTGACAGACAATAACTGAACAGTATTGACTTTTTTGTATGTCTTATCTTTTGAAATGATATCTGATTGTCTAATAAACAAGTAGCTTCACACTTTTAGTATGATTAGATATGACGTTTCTACTTCAAATCTTTTTCACATCGTCACATTCAAACTGTACTACAAATTTCATTAGCATTTGGCAGACACTTTCATCCAAAGCAAAATACATCTTAATCAGGACACATCTTATCAGTTGTATCAAACCCATGATCTGCTTGTGATATCAGCCGTAAAACACCTTTCTGGCAGCAAAATGAAAGTTAAACACTTTTAATTTTCAACCCTACACCTTTATTGGACTTTGGACTGTACAAGTATTGCGTTTTATAGACTTATATTATCCAATTTTTCCTCCATATTACAGATGCTTCTTTCTGCTGATGCTCCTGGCATAATATGTTTAGTTTCTTATGATTTCAGTAAAACATACATTGTAATGAATTTAACTGTCAGTACCGAAACTTCAGTGGTGTTTAATGGTTCTTTAAAAACAGACACAGTCTTACCTCTGTTCCTCCTGGAGACTTGGAGTCTCAGCCAGAGAGTTCTTTTCTTGTTCCACTGACATTACTGCACTTTTATGTTGAAGACAATCAGATGCTCATCACAACCTGGACATGGCAGTATGTTATGAGCTCAATATAATGACCAATGTTGACTTGGCAACAAAGCTGTATAAAAACAAACATTTGCTCTGAAACAAATATGGCCATGTTGTGCAACCAAAGAGTGTAGGGTAAAAGTGCATTTCACAACATATAACTCTAAATATAAGTTAGGAGATAAACACTGAGGTTTTATATGATTTTCACTATTTACTCATGAGACAAGAAGCCATCTTTTACATGCATCATTTGATCATTACGTAATTTATTGTAGGCTATTAATATCAAATGTTCCCACAATAATTAAATATTTGAGTAAATGTAGGCTGTTGTGCTACGTAAACTGCAATATTCTATTTAATCATAGCTTGATGTGTTACATTGTTCTTTGATAAACCAAAAGACATTAAAGCATCATTCACAGCGCGCTTGGTTTCACTTAACCGCCTGATTTCCCGTTAGAATTTAAATGTTTTAAAACTTACGTGCAATAATATTACGATGGTCTGAGCATCAAGAACGCTGCGCAGAATGGTTTCTTTTTCTCCCCTTTACGCCCCTTGTCACAGATGTATCCAGCTGCAGACCTGCACCTCTCGCGAGACAAATAAGCAACCGCAGCTTCAAAAACAAGCCCAATATTTTTTGATAATTTATTATCAAATAATCAATATTATTTATTATCAATTATTTATTACCAATAAATGAGTTCACAACATATTAAACTGAAACTACCCTTTTATCTGAAAAGCAAAAACATAAGTTATTTTACAAAAATCAGCAAACTGCAACAAAGCAGGAACAAAACTCATCTCCAATCACCTGTGAGCAGAATAGGATTGGACAGATGGAAAACGAGAAAAACACAAGAGCTTGGGCTAGTTCAAGCTCAAACCGATGCGTAACGTTTTGCTATGGTTTCCCGGTTGAACGACATGTTTCCTGAAAACGGTGTGCAACGGTGGCTGCGTCCGAAACCGCTTACTTCTCTACTATATAGTAGGTGAAAAGCAGTAGGCGAGCAAATAAGTATGTCAGAAACCTCAGTATTCATAAAAGAGTAGGCGAGAATTACCTGGGTGACATACTGCTTCTGCCCAGCTTCTTGAGTGCTCGTCGATGGTTACGTTCCTATCACAGGAGGCCACGCGAGAGGATACATCATGAAGAAGAAGAGGATGCATCATAAAGAAGAAGAGGATGCATCATAAAGAAGAAGAAGAAGAGGATGCATCATGAAGAAGAAGAGGATGCATCATAAAGAAGAAGAGGATGCATCATAAAGAAGAAGAAGAAGAGGATGCATCATAAAGAAGAAGAAGAAGAGGATGCATCATGAAGAAGAAGAGGATGCATCATAAAGAAGAAGAAGAAGAGGATGCATCATGAAGAAGAAGAGGATGCATCATAAAGAAGAAGAAGAAGAGGATGCATCATGAAGAAGAAGAGGATGCATCATAAAGAAGAAGAAGAAGAGGATGCATCATGAAGAAGAAGAGGATGCATCATAAAGAAGAAGAAGAAGAGGATGCATCAT